AGATTCAGACGGTCTCAAAAGTTGTCTCGTTCCTGAGCCCGCTCTGCCCTGCAGCCTGTTTTAATCCCTGTCGCAAATCTATGACGCGGCGGTCTCAGCCCTTCCAGACGAAGAAAGCATTGCACCAAGGAAAAAGCGAGGTGAGGGTTGAACCTGCACCTCTCACCCGGTCCGATCAGATTCCTTGTCTCTCCCAGATCCTCAGCCTGGCAGGAAGTTCCCGCTTTGTCTGGACCCAGCACGGTTTACCTCTGCCTGCCTTGTCTCCTGCCCCAGAGTAGACAGTTTGCCTCTAAAGAGAAGTCGGCTTTCAATTCCACCTCCCTGCCCTCGCTTGTGTAATTCCATCAACGTCTTCACGTGCCTTCCAGCTCCAAAGCAATTGCCTGGTTCTCCCTGAAACCTCCCCAGACCTCCACACTGGAAGAAAGCTCCCTGAACTCTCGACTCGGTCGTAGCATTCTTGAGGGTCGGGAAGGGGACAAGACTGTCTCACAGCCCTTCCACAGCGGAATACCACAAGGTGTTCCCGGCAGATACACGCGAAATGATCAGGCTATGCATGCCAGCAGGGAGGTTGCCTTCCAGAATCACTGGAGTCGTCGACTGCCCACTGCTGGAAAACTGCATGAGGCCGGGCGCAGTGGCTCAGGCCTGTAATCCCAGCACTTCGGGAGGCAGAGGTGGGAGGATCACTTGAGGCCAGGACTTCAAGACCAACCCGGGCATCATTTTGAGGGACCCGCCCTGCCCACATTGCTACCAAAAAAATAGTTAAGACGCTGGGCACGGTGGCTCAAACCTGTAATCCCAGCACTTGGGGAGGCCAAGGCAAGAGGATTGCCTGAGCTCAGGGGTTTGAGACCAGCCTGAGCAACATGGCTAGACCTCATCTCTACAATAAATTACAAAGTCAGCCAGCATGGTAGATAGCCCGCACCTGTAGTTCCAGCTACTCGGAAGGCTGAGGCGAAGGATCACCGGAGCCCAGCAGGGCGAGCCTGTGGTGGCTGGGAGCGGCCACTGCACTCCAGCCTGGGCGACAGTGAAACTCCGACTCAAAAAATTAGCCAGCTGTGGCCGTGCACACCTGTACTCCCAGCTACATGGGAGGCTGAGGCGGGAGGATTGCTTGAGTCCAGGAGGTTGAGGCTGCAGTGAGCCATGATTTCACCAGTGCACTCCGGCCTGGGGAACAGAGCAAGACCCTATGTCCAAAAAAAATAAAAGCCAGGCATGGTGGCTCAAGCCTGTTATTTCAGCACTTTGGGAGGCAAGAAGAGAGGATCGCCTGAGCCCGCGGGTTCAACATGGTGAACAAAGGAAACATGGAGAGACCTCGTCTCTACAATAAAATCAGAAAATGGAGCCGGTCTTGGTGGCTCAGCCTGTAATCCCGCACCTTTGGGAGGCTGAGATGAGTGGACTGCCTGAACCCGTGGGTTCGAGACCCGCCTGGGCAACTTGGCGAGACCTCATCTCTACAATAAATCAAAAAATCAACCGGGCGTGGTAGCGAGTGCCTGTATTCCCGGCTACTCAGAAGGCTGAGGCGGAAGGGTCGCCGGAGCCCAGCAGGTCGAGGCTGCGGTGGCCGGGAGCAGCCACTGCACTCCAGTCTGGGCGACACAGTCTGGGCGCCAACTCAAAAAAAAGAAAAAATCAGAAAATGAGCCGGGCGTCATGGCACACACCTGTCGTTCCAGCTGCTTGGAAGGCCGAGGCAGGAGGATCGCCAGAGTCCAGCAGGTCGACGCTGGGGTGGCTGTGAGAGTACCACTGCACTCCAGCCTGGGCGACGAGGGAGACTCCAACTCAAAAAATAAAATAAAATAAAAGCAGAAGCCAGAAGCAGAGCTTTGCTTCTGGCCCCACACGCCTTGCAGAATTGTTTGCACTCATTGATTTTTGTGTCGTTTGTCCCCTTCCCTGGCTTCCAGGCCTGAGCGGGCCTCACCTTCAAACGGCCGTGTTCATATCTTCCCTGCCTGGACTTTTGTCCAAGTCCCTCCCGCTCGCCACGTGGGGAGGGACAGCCTGGCCAGACAGGAGCCTGTGGGGGTTTGGTCTGACCCCCAAACTGTTTGAAGGCACACTGGGGAGGCGAGAGCGTGGGAAAGTGCAGGGCGTGGACTGGAGGAACCCGCTCCTCCCCTCCAGCCCAGGGGACAGTGCTGCTCAGGACGACAGGGACGAGGAGGGGTGGACACTTACTAGAGGGGAGGCGGCCGGTGGCCAGCATTGACGACCAGCTCTTTCCTGCAGCTCGGCAGCCGTCTGACCTAAATCTTGGGTTCCAGGAAAGGCAGAAGGTTCCAGAAAGCAGGTAAGTGACTGTGTCAGGCTTGGCGTGGGTGGGAAAAGACTCTTCTAGCTCGGAAATCTTTGGGGGAGGGGAAGCGACCAGTGCGACAGGGTCTCCCACCTCATTTGCCGTGCAGGAGAAAGGCGTGGCCGCCCCTGACCATGGGGCATCCTGGCGACGGCTAAGCCCGGGAGCAAGTTATTTCCTCGGCATTAAGTCAAGCACTGGCTCTTGGCTGCTAGTGTGAGGGGCTCATCCCTGGCAGCACTTGCTCTTGCTCTGCCGATAAAGGGAGACAGCAAGGCCGGGGTCCTCACCCAACCTGGCTCCTCCATGGGAGAAATGAGGGAAGCTCAAGAGGAGAACTGGCCAGGCGTGGTGGCTCACACCTATAATCCCAGCCCTTTGAAAGGCGAAAGGATTGCCTGAGCCCCCGGGTACAAGACCAGCCTGGGCAACTTGGGGAGACCTCGCTTCTACAATAAACCAAAAAATCAGCTGGGCATGGCGGTGCACCCCTGTGGTTCCAGCTTCTTGGAAGGCTGCGTTGGAAGGATCGCCTGAACCCCGTAGGTCAAGGCTGTGGTGGCCGTGAGCGTGCCACTGCCCTCCAGCCTTGGTGGCAGAGTGAGATCCTGACTCAAAACAACAGCCAAGAGGCTGTATTGCCAGGCTCGGTGGCTCAGCCTGTAATCCCGCGCCTTTGGGAGGCTGAGGTGAGCGGATTGCCTGAGCCCGCG